TTGGGGGGGAAAAGAAAAAGGGGTTGGGGGGGAAAAGAAAAAGGGGTAGTAGTTTTGGGGGCAAAGAAGAAGAAAAAGGAGAAGCTTTGGGGGGGAAGAACGAGAAAAAGAGAAGTTTGGGGGGGAAAAGAACAAGAAAAAGAAGTAGTAGTTTTGGGGGGAAGAAGGACAAGTAGTTTTGGCAGGGAAAAAGAAAAAGAAATTGTTTTTTTGGGGGGAAAAAGAAGTTTTGGGGTCTGCACGGCACATGGAAAAAGGGCAAAGAGCCGGTTTTAGGGTCGAGAGGAGCCTCAGCGGGCGCAGACGCAGCCTTGGGGTCCGGTGGAAGGAGTTTGGGGGTTCACAGAGGCTCTGGGGAATGACAAAGCCCAAAAAGGGAGTTTGGGGGGGGGACGTGAGAGCCCCAGGAAGGGAAAATGGGGGTCGGCATGCCCGTCCCCCCCAAACCTTGAGCTCCTCCGTCAGCCGTTCCTTCTTCTCCTTCAGCTTATCCACCGCTTTCTCGTCCCAGCGCCGGGCTTTGGCCTTCAGGTCGCTGGCTCCCCCCGAAATCACCCCCGATTTTTGGAAGAGGGTCCCATCCAACGCCACCGTCTGCGGAAATAACAAAAAAAAAAAAAAAAAAAGCGGGGGGGGGCAAGCCTGGGCATATGTGGGTGGCTTGAAACCTCACTCTGTGAGAGATGATACAGCCTTGACAGATAGCATGAGAGAAAAACAAAAAAAAAAAAAAAAAAAAGGGGTTGGGTGCTGCCCGGAGGCCTGCGTCCCCGTCAGGGTGTCGGGGGGAAGGCGGGGGACCCCCACTTTGTGCCGTTGGTGTCCCCCGAAGGCGATGCGCCGGGCGTCCTCCACGTTGTCGCAGACCAGGGCGTTGCCGCAGGCGTATTGAAGGGCTTTTTTGATGTGGGGGGGTTCGTATCGGATCACGTCGATCACCAGCTTCGCCCCCTTTAGCTCCCGCAGTTTCTCGTCCGTCGGCTTCACCTGTGGCCCAAGGGGGTTGAACAGGGGCCCCCCAAAACCCCGGGAACAGCCACGAGTCCCACAGGGTTCAACAGGGACCCCCAAAACCCCAGGGATGGCCACGAGTCCTGGGGGATTCAATACGGCCCCCCAAAACCCTGGGGAGGGCTCTGAGCCTCAAGGGGTTAAATGGCGACCCCCAAAACCCCCAGGGAGGGCCCTGAGCCCCAGGGGGTGCAAACGGGGACCCCCAAAACCCCAGGCATGGCTACCAGCCCCAGGGGGTTAAATGGGGACCCCCAAAACCCCAGGGAAGGCTCTGAGCCCCAGGGGTTAAACAGGCAGCCCAAATCCTGGGGAGGGCCCTGAGGGGTTAAATGGGGTCCCCCAAACTCCTTGCAGGACCCTGAGGGGTTAAATTGGGGCCCCCCAAAACCCCAGGGAGGACCCTGAGCCCCACAGAGCTCCATGGGGTCCCCCCCAAACCCCAACACCCCTGGGAGGATCCTGAGGGGTTGAACAGGGGCCCCCCAAACCCACTGTAGGACCCCAAGGGGTTAAATGGGGTCCCCCAAACCCCAACACCCCAGAAAACACCCCGAGGAGTTACACAGGGGTCCCCCAAACCCTAAAGACCCCCATCCCTGAGGAGTCCTCGCACCATCCCCACCCTCCAGCACCCTTCGGGGTCCCCAGGGAGCCCCAAGACCCCAAAAGCGGGGGTTTCCCCGCACCCCACCTCCAGATAATCGAGGGGCAGGAAGGTTTCGGGCTCGCCCCGCTGCTCCTTGATGTACTGGATACAATCGCGCCCCGTCTTTTCCGAATCCACGATGATGGCGTCCATGTTCTTCCCCAACACCTTGGTCACGGCGATCTGATATTTCTTCTGCGTGGGCTGGCACAGATCGATGAGGCGGCCGTACTATAGGGGGGCAACCCCCCCCAAAAAAAAGGGTTAGCACCGAGCCGAGGGGTTGGGGAAGGGGCAAAATGGGGTTCGGGGGGGTGTCGGACTCACGACGGAGCCGGGATAGAGGCGTTTGATGCTGTCCATGATTTCGGCTTTACGTTGTTGACGGCTGCTCTCCTGTCGGTCGATGCGGGCGTCCCCAAGTTGTTCCATCACCTGGTTCAGCTCTTTGTTGATCTCGTCGATGCGACGTTTCGCCAGTTCTACTTCTTCCGTTAATTCTCCTTCCAGGCGCTTTTGTTCCTCCAGGGATTGTCTAAGGGGGGGATTGGGGGGACGGGGGACTATTTGGGGGGCTGCCCCGGGGCGTGGGGACGAGGGGATGGGAACGAGGGACGCCTCGAGGGCACGGAGATGGGGGCATTGGGACAGGGACTG